CCTTGAAATAGTATCGAAATGGTTCAAGTGATATATCATGTCATGTTTCGAATGACATTGAAAAAATTTCAAAAGGTTGTCCAAGTTTTGAGAAAGACAGGTTCAAATTTCAGATTTTTAGTCTAGATTAGAGCAAACAAAGTGAGCTAGTTGGCCTAAAGTAGCATAGTATCCTTTAAATTGAGCCATAAAAACTTGGTCTTAAGTGTGAAGAATTAGTTTTTTGTTTTTCAGCGCTATTTTGGGAATCATGTATTTCGAAAACTGAAAAAAGTTCTTTTCGATTCTATTTATGATTTTTTGGCTACTTTTTGGAAAACTGTTGTCTATTTTGGCTACTTTCCTATGATTGTCGAGTATGCCTAAGTTCTAATTTTTCGTTCTCAACTTTTTATCACAGCACGCGGAAAAAACGACACTAATTTGAAAAAATATATATATATTTTTTTTATAATTTTTAAGATTATGGTCGCACATGCTGTGATACACGCAAAAAACAAGCTATCCTTGTTTTCTGCTTGTCACTTGTGGTTGCATTTACATACAGTTGAGCACTTAAAAAGTATCTGTAATAGTTTTTCTATATGTAAATAGTTAAATAAACCATTTAAGTCTTTTTTCAATGTTAATTTCTGAAAATTCCAAAACCTCTCTTTTGTATATCACCCTGAGAGAGATCATTTACAGGATCTGAGCTCTGCAAGTCGTGAGTCTAGTTGGAAAAAGTTTTACAGCAATTTTTTCAAAAAACTTAATGTTAGCAGAGATCCAAAACACGCTACAGCATGAATCGAAATCTGGCGTGCGGTGCGTATTGGTTCCCTTGGTTCCCATAACAATGGTCGAGAGATATAGCACGAGTCTTCGGTACATTAAAATCTAGGTTTCAAGTCCCCGGCGGAGGTTCTTTTTCTGTAGAATATGGCTTTCATCTTTGGTAAAAATTGGCTATTGTTTGTATTGTTGATTTTTGTAAATACGAGTGAAACAGCCTCTACGAAAGCCTGTAATTATTCGAGGCATCATTTTTCTTCTAATTTAAGCAAATGGTTTGGTATAATTGATAATGGTTTTGTATTTTTTTGTTCACCTACTCTGACTCTTATAAATTACAAAATTTATACAAGGTTTTTGGCTCCAATTTTTGAAGGAAAAGATTTTGCTGGCAACCAAGTTGCGAAATTGAGAAATTTTTGGCTGAGTTGCCAATAAGTGAATAATTTTTTTGCTTTTTAAAATTTTTAACGGTGTTGGCAAGTTTTACTCAAGTTCGTGCCTCGCAAATCCACCTCAAATGAATGACGACTGAACGTGAAAAAAAGTATTCGAAAATCAACCACATAAATAATACTGCTATGACGCTTTTGTAGATATGAAGAAGGTTTTTGACACAGTTAACCATAAAGGACACTCTTGCCAAGAAGCTGCAGATTTTATGTTTCTGTGGAAAGTTTGCTAATTTGTTTAAGAAATACTTCGAAAATCAAAAACAATTTGTTTAAATGAACCATTAATTGCCTAATTCCAAAAAAAACTTTGCGTTGGCTCTAAGGCTCCATTTAAGCGCCTTTTTATGGTTTCTTTATTTTTCAAATGATCTACTGGATCACTTACACCAAAGTGAAATAACACTTTTTGTGGACAATACAATAATGATAGACAGCAATCCACAAACATTCGTAAGAGCAAGTTTTCACAGCGAGCTTTTAAAAATAGATGAATGGTTCAGAGCCAAAAAACTGACTACTATTAACGGAGAGTCTAAGAAGGTGGAATTTGGAAAAAATGCAGTGAGAAAATTTTAATTTGGGAGATAATTTAATTTCCCTCAGGAACAGTTTGAAATTTTTTGGGTATTTTGACAGACAGAAACTGAATTTCAATGATCATGAAAATAATGTATGCCTCAGAATAGTCAATTCTACCGGAGTTATATATTGCTCTTAGAATTTCTTTCTAAAACTTTCCTAATCCATTTTTATAAAAGAAATTTAGTGACACTGGTTGGCAGACACCGATACATGCAACACCGGCCACCAATAGCGTATTTTTTTTCATGATAGATATCAAAAACCCAGGTTGGCAGACACCGATACATGCAACACCGGCCACCAATAGCGTATTTTTTTTCATGATAGATATCACATTATTTCTGGGCCCATGAGAACGATTAGTAAATTCAAATTGACGAATTGAATTACATCCCCTAGCCATTAGAGAATTATGAAAAACAATCTGTAAAACCGCACAGTTTTACTAATCCTGATTAATTGTTTTGACTACAGAAAATGGAGGGGAACTTTGTATTTGGGTTTTTTTGTTGTTTCCCCGCATTTCAGGTACCTTGAAATAGTATCGAAATGGTTCAAGTGATATATCATGTCATGTTTCGAATGACATTGAAAAAATTTCAAAAGGTTGTCCAAGTTTTGAGAAAGACAGGTTCAAATTTCAGATTTTTAGTCTAGATTAGAGCAAACAAAGTGAGCTAGTTGGCCTAAAGTAGCATAGTATCCTTTAAATTGAGCCATAAAAACTTGGTCTTAAGTGTGAAGAATTAGTTTTTTGTTTTTCAGCGCTATTTTGGGAATCATGTATTTCGAAAACTGAAAAAAGTTCTTTTCGATTCTATTTATGATTTTTTGGCTACTTTTTGGAAAACTGTTGTCTATTTTGGCTACTTTCCTATGATTGTCGAGTATGCCTAAGTTCTAATTTTTCGTTCTCAACTTTTTATCACAGCACGCGGAAAAAACGACACTAATTTGAAAAAATATATATATTTTTTTATAATTTTTAAGATTATGGTCGCACATGCTGTGATACACGCAAAAAACAAGCTATCCTTGTTTTCTGCTTGTCACTTGTGGTTGCATTTACATACAGTTGAGCACTTAAAAAGTATCTGTAATAGTTTTTCTACATGTAAATAGTTAAATAAACCATTTAAGTCTTTTTTCAATAATAATTTCTGAAAATTCCAAAACCTCTCTTTTGTATATCACCCTGAGAGAGATCATTTACAGGATCTGAGCTCTGCAAGTCGTGAGTCTAGTTGGAAAAAGTTTTACAGCAATTTTTTCAAAAAACATAATGTTAGCAGAGATCCAAAACACGCTACAGCATGAATCGAAATCTGGCGTGCGGTGCGTATTGGTTCCCTTGGTTCCCATAACAATGGTCGAGAGATATAGCACGAGTCTTCGGTACATTAAAATCTAGGTTTCAAGTCCCCGGCGGAGGTTCTTTTTCTGTAGAATATGGCTTTCATCTTTGGTAAAAATTGGCTATTGTTTGTATTGTTGATTTTTGTAAATACGAGTGAAACGGCCTCTACGAAAGCCTGTTATTATTCGAGGCATCATTTTTCTTCTAATTTAAGCAAATGGTTTGGTATAATTGATAATGGTTTTGTATTTTTTTGTTCACCTACTCTGACTCTTATAAATTACAAAATTTATACAAGGTTTTTGGCTCCAATTTTTGAAGGAAAAGATTTTGCTGGCAACCAAGTTGCGAAATTGAAAAATTTTTGGCTGAGTTGCCAATAAGTGAATAATTTTTTTGCTTTTTAAAATTTTTAACGGTGTTGGCAAGTTTTACTCAAGTTCGTGCCTCGCAAATCCACCTCAAATGAATGACGACTGAACGTGAAAAAAAAGTATTCGAAAATCAACCACATAAATAATACTGCTATGACGCTTTTGTAGATATGAAGAAGGTTTTTGACACAGTTAACCATAAAGGACACTCTTGCCAAGAAGCTGCTGATTTTATGTTTCTGTGGAAAGTTTGCTAATTTGTTTAAGAAATACTTCGAAAATCAAAAACAATTTGTTTAAATGAACCATTAATTGCCTAATTCCAAAATAAACTTTGCGTTGGCTCTAAGGCTCCATTTAAGCGCCTTTTTATGGTTTCTTTATTTTTCAAATGATCTACTGGATCACTTACACCAAAGTGAAATAACACTTTTTGTGGACAATACAATAATGATAGACAGCAATCCACAAACATTCGTAAGAGCAAGTTTTCACAGCGAGCTTTTAAAAATAGATGAATGGTTCAGAGCCAAAAAACTGACTACTATTAGCGGAGAGTCTAAGAAGGTGGAATTTGGAAAAAATGCAGTAAGAAAATTTTAATTTGGGAGATAATTTAATTTCCCTCAGGAACAGTTTGAAATTTTTTGGGTATTTTGACAGACAGAAACTGAATTTCAATGATCATGAAAATAATGTATGCCTCGGAATAGTCAATTCTACCGGAGTTATATATTGCTCTTGGAATTTCTTTCTGAAACTTTCCTAATCCATTTTTATAAAAGAAATTTAGTGACACTGGTTTTATACAGTCTGATAGTTTAGGGATGCACAACGAAAGAAAATCTATACTTCCAAAATTTTGATAGTTGAAAAAAGGCTGTAGCGTACTATTCGCTTCAAGAGAAAAATAGACCTCATTTTTATATCTTTTCGAATACTATTCATGGTTTTTTGTTGAATCCATGATTTATCAGAAACTGTTAATCAGATATGATATTGGATACCTCACCTATAATTTTTCTGAAAAAATAATACTTGAACCAACAAGCTCACTAAATGTTGGGTAAGAGACTGATCATTTTTTTTGCAAAATCAAAAATCACAAAATTGTCGGTTGAAAATAAAATAATCAAGTGCTATAATTATCTTCAAAAAATGATCTTATTCCTATTGACTTTAATTTTATCAACAAAATTTCAGGCTTTGTAGTTGAATAAACAATTTAACTGAATGTGTGTCAAAGATAACAAGGTGTTACTGAAATTTTTGATTTAAATTTGTATGTTCAAACTAAATTGCTCGTCTTTTATTTTTTAAGTTCTTTTGGGCTAGCTACTCCTGATGCTCGGAAATCAATGATATGACGGGATTCGAACCATTAGCCTATTGATTGAGGAGCACACACATAAGTATCACTTCAGCCTTTTCTTACATTGAATAGTTAATTTTTTGCAGGAGTTGCGGATGCCCCTAAAATCATCAGCCCCATCACAAGTGGCCGAAGTTATGAGTACACTTTGGCATGGAAGACTCCATCAATTCCTGTGAACAGATACATAATTAGGATGAGGAAGAGACCAGATCCAAATCAGGTTAGGTAAAGTTTAAACTGCTGATTTAAAACAAACAATATAAACAATTTAAAAATGCGATTTATTCGTTTATTCTGATGTCGGCGATTAATTGAAATGTTCAAAACAAAATATCTATTCTCTTGTGATATTTAACATGTGTTGCAAGCAGTTTGAATACATTTTTCACTGTCACGCCAGGTTTTTAAAAAAAATAACATAAAAGAAAAAATGCTCAATTTCGACATTACTCAATTTCAACCGACATGTTTTTCAGATTCCGGAGACCCAAAGCGAACGAAGACAAATTACTACAATGGGTATGTTATTATTTTCAGGTCCAGATATCTGCTTTCTTGTCGTTTGGTTTTAAGTTCGATTGAACTGTTCTAGAATATTCCAACAATTCCTCTTCCTCGTCTGACGCCAACTCCATTTCTGTCTCTACCAAGTCATCAGATGAGTCATCATCACGTGATGAGTCATCAGAGTGGGTTGAACAGGTGGTCTATGTGGGCGAGAGAACGACCATAACTGTCTCTTATGTAATCAAAGGTAACCAAACTCCTTTTAATATTTCAATTTACCAGATTCAATGAACTGGAAAAAACCACTGCTTGGAGCGAAATTATTTCCAGAAAAATGAAAATTAATTTTACGACTACTAATTGTTTCGAATTGTCAAGGAATGCTTAGTGGAGTATATTTACTCTGATCTAAGTCCATTCATTTTTTTCTTTTATTTATCAAATTATTTCTTTTGTCTCAATTTTTAACTTTTCAACTTTTTGAATAGTTTTTAGGCTGAAAAAAAGACAAAAGAATTGCTAGGAAATTTTTCATTCTCAAAATTGTTTCTTGTTTTTTTTTTGTTTTTGTATAGGTTAATTGATAAATGCTATAAAAAATCAAAAACATTTTCACAGTATAGTTTCCAATACGCATTTTTTCTGAAGTTGGTTCTGCTGCTACTTTCAGATCTGGATTCTGATTCCGTGTACGATGTTCAACTGATGGGAAGCAACAAGTATGGCATAGGGGACATGACTACTATTCAGGTCCACACAACGTCTATGGATCACCATAGGCGAAGTAAGTGAAGAGAGGCAGCAATCTCCAAACTAGTATATTAGATCCACGAAAACTGGCACGAAAATTGAATCAAAAGCTTTCTTTTTATACATGTTTCAACTATTGGGAAAAAACATTGCACCAAAACTTTCATGCTACCTATATAATCAAATCAGTCACCTAGCTCAATTTAATTAAAGAACTGGCTGTGAACCAAATTTGAAGCCAAAATGATGAATTGCCTCTTAACATAAATTCTTATAAAATTATCTGTTTTTTTTTGTTCCAGCTCACGGTCTCTTAAATTCGGCCATGAAAGTGTCTGTGTCCAGAGGTGGCGACTCCTCCTCTTCGTCTTCTTCTTCTTCTTCCGTTGACCTCAACATATCTCACACATTGACCTCTTATTTGAGGTCAACAACAACTCTCTGTGCCTTAACCATACTTCCCAAACTACTAACTCACCATTAAAAACAACTAATTAACTAAACTAACTTTGAGCTATTTTAACTGAATTTATGATTTAACCCAATTTTAATTTCATATTTTATTTTCAAATCAAACTTTTTAACATTTACAAAATCATATCTTAAAAATTGAGCTAACACACCCGAAGTATATCTATTTGGCATTTGGGCAACAATTTGTGCCGTGCGAGACTTCGTCTGCTCTGAATTGTCCTCCAAGGTCATTTGGCGTCGGAAAAAGTTGGTAAAGTTTGACTCGAATTGGCTATTAAATGGCTTAAACTACGGAATTTCGATATTGATTATTGTTGATTGACTTAATTTAACTCATTCTGACTTAGTGTTTCAGGGAACAACCCTAATTTTTTCGACTGCTTTTCCAAATTGTTTCAAGTATAATTTCAAGTAAAGCAGTTGAACTAAAAGTTTTTACAAAACTAATTATTATTTTCCGAAATTTGATTTTTGGAATCAAAGAAATGCATCTACAGACTGCTAGTATATCAGCGAAGCGCCGAATACTCCCGGCTTCTCAGCGAAAAGCTTTTAAATTGTCTCAGATTTTCATTTTGGTAAGAAATAGTTTTAAGAGTGTTTCAAAAAATTGAAATGTGCTACTTATGACCCCAAAAAAAATTTTTCCAGCACTAAGTGATGAAAATTGTGTAGATTAGAAAACCCAAGTCTAGTTTGCCGGCATCAAGAGAATCTGGAGCCGCGTTTAACCTAATTGCGATTACACGTTGCCGTTGAGAATAATGGATAAGTGGAACAGTAGCGGATAACTTAGTCACGAATACCGAATCCAAGGACTTAGCAATTTCGGAACCCTATGAAGATTTAAAAATTAGTTTCAGGTGAACTCTATCGTAAATTTTGAGCCCAACATCTTGACTATAGTTATAGGGTTCCACTTGCATCAGAACAAAAATAGGACTTAAAGATTTGCCCTAATCCAATTGGCGTGAAATTGAGGGCGAGGAAAAGTATTACCCTGGGTGGAGATGTTCGATTTCTGTTTCGACTTTTTCGACCAGAAGTTGGTATTTTTGACCGTCTCGACCAAAGTTAGCATGTTTCGACTTTCATGACCAAGTTTTTGGTACTTTCTCGGCCTAAAAAAAGTGTTCGACTCTGCTCGATCCAATTCAGAGATGTTTGAATTTTCTCCACTGCCTCGACGATTTAAAAAAAGTTTATTTGTTCGTCCCCGCATAGAAATTTTGCGAAACTTTTAATCATAAATGGTAAGTTTCGACTGTTTTGATTTTCTCGACAAGAAAAAATTTTTTCAAGATTTATTTGACCCATCTCAATAATGTGCGCCTAAAGCGTTGAATTTTTTGTACACCTTACTCTTGTTGTTGGCTCTTGACATGTTTGTCAGTTTCAGATGGTTGAAATACCTTTTTTTCATCAATGATCGCCTAAATCAATGCATCCAATGGATTTAGTGTTTCCGATAAAAAACCTCTGTTAGAGATTGCAGTTTCTCAGGTTGAAAATAAACACGCCACGAATAAATACACAAATAAATAACCCAATTCTGTTCTGCATGTAATTCTATCTCGTAAATTCTCGCGAAGTCTGAGATTACTCTCCAGAATTGCTCGTACGGCTTTCGTTCCTTCTATTTTGCGCTTAAATTTATACCGTTCGAAGATATTTTTTGACAGTTTTACAAATGCAGATTCAAAGAAATTGAAAATTTTCGTTAAAAATAACAGATTACATTTTCACCCAAGGATGTTTTCGTGAGATTTTTTTGTTTCCCTCTAATCTTTAGGCCAAAAACAGTATCGATCTGAATTTTTTGTCTGCCTCGTTTCTTTTCAGGACGCCGATATTTCGTTTTTCCTCTGCAATTCATTGTTCTTCTGCAACTTAGTAGTCTTGCATAACGTCTTTTTTTCTGCTGGCTTTCGTAGCGTTTTCCTTTTGTTCATTGTCTGAATCATGGGAACTTTCAAGAATTGAGATTTCTGTCTCCGTCACCAATGGTTTCTTCAAATTATTGGTGTTTAGGTCTCTTTGGCTATTATTGTAAGATGAATCTGATCAACCCAGTTTATCTATTCCTTGCGGCTTCTAAAGTATGATTAGGCCAGAGGGTATAAATTTCTCGCAAGTTCGAATCCGTTGACTACGCCATAATAACTTGACTAACACTTGACTAACTAGAAAAAAAAGATTGAAATGGAATGAATTGAATTATCACATTTTCTTTTCCATTCAACTAGAAAAGTGCAAAGAAGTCCCATGGACTTCAAAGAGACACAAACTATTAGATTTCCAATTTAGATTAAATATCAAATAAAAGTAAATAAAACACAATTCACAACATTATTAACTCAAAAGATTTATCGAGAACTAGTTAAACTTAAAAAACAATTGTTTTAAAACTCAAGTGATATGTTAAATGGCCAGAGTTGGTAAAAATCGAATGCTCATGTGCGCTTGCTGTCGAGAAAAAAAAAACATCAAAGTATGCCTCTCAGTGCTTTTTTTCGATCATTGAATTGAAAAAATTACATGTTTTTGTTAGTAGTGGTGAATTTTTAAAAACATTTTGCAGAAAACAAGCAAACCTGTCCTGTTCTAAACAAAGGAGCTGTTGTTGTATCTCTTATTAAGATTTGTATGAATTGTTTCAACTTTTAAGCAAAAATTATACTGGGCTTCAAGTTTATGATATTTGTAGTCACAGAGGACACACTGTCAACTTCAAGACTGCTCATCTAGATTTATTTAAAAAACTCTTTTCTAAAACATATTATATTACGAAGGATAATGGGGCGCTAAGAATCTGTAAGACTTGGTAAAATACTACGAGGCCAATCTGTGTAATTTGTGAATTATAAGGGGATTCGCCAACATAGACGCTCCTTGAGTAAGGGATGGGTGATGGATTCATAAAACCATCATTTGACCGCATGACAGAGAAGATCTTGTTGGCTGCTATCATAAACGAAGATGTAAAACTTTGTATGCCTCGTGATTACTGGTGTGTTATCGTGCTTACTAAATGAATTTTAATCCTAGTTTTTTCAATTTTAGATAATGAATCTGAGTGAATGCTATGTTCAGTCACGCGAGAAAAAACCACAAAAATTTGCAACTTTTTTCACTTTCCTGAAAAAACCATGTTACATAGTTAGTGCTTAAATTTCAGCGGGTCACTAATTTTGTGGCACTCACACATAAGGTCATTAAATGCTGCAATTTGTGTTACAACAAAACAAAACAAGGATAGCCGGTTACTCTGCAAATAGCTCAGGATGTTCCGACCATAGTTTTACCAAAAATACAATTTTTTTTCAAATCAGTGTTGTTTTTTCAGTGTTGTAATAAAAAAGCCTAAGCAAAAAAATAGAAATTAAGCATGTTTAACAGTCATAGTCGAATAGACCAATTGAAAAACTGTTTTTGATGGAAATTTTAAAAAGCAAAAAAAGTATATAAAAATTTAGAAAATTTCACAAATTCTTGCTAATTTTTTTGCAGAACCATTTTGAGCTTTTGAAAAAGTGATTCCAAAAAAACGCTAAATAAACCCCAAAAACCAAATTCCTTTGTGAAACTAAGATTTCACGGCTTAAATTAAGCGTAAATAAGCTGTTGTAACCCTGCACGCTGACCTTTTCTTACTGAAAATTAAACTGAAAGTCAAAAATTTCAAACCGGTTTTTCTCAACACTAAAAAAAAACGTATCGAAGTTTTTTAAAATCGTTGGAATCACTACCAAAATGGATTTAATATGATATATAACTCGACCCATCCCGATGATTGTTAGTGGTACCTGATTTTGCCTTGAGAACAAAAAGAAAGAAAAAACAAAAACACACCCGAATACAAAGTTCCTCCACTGTGTTTCAAACGAATGATTTTTCGTTGACTTTTATTGCAGAGAAACCTTTCCGCCGGCAATTCAGCCGTCAACAAGTTTCATCATCATCTAATCTAGTCTTTAGTGTTTTGATTCTTGCATCAGCAAAAACGTTCTAACTGATCCAATGGCTTGTGGCAGCCCAGACATCTCGGAATGTTTGTTGATGGAGAAAATAATATGCATGCAAAATTTTTCCCGCAAAGAGTCGGAGCAAAAATGAATATTCGGGTGCTCCCAGAACACTATAAAAACCCTATTCTTACAAATTTTTTTGCGCCGCAGCCAAAATTGTTTGCGCGCTGTCTTTCAAATTTAGTATATATTGGCGCCGAAGGATTCTTTAAGAAATTTTTTGGGTTGTTTGGCCGAAAATGGTTTCAAAAAGGAATGCCAAAACTTGACTTTTCCGTTGGTGAGGGGGCTAAATCTGCAATGATTGCCTTTGATACTCATTGGAAAATTTTTAACTTGCATTTTATGATAGCCATCAAAATTATCAGCTGGCGACTTTACGAAATTTTTTCGGGTGACCCAGAGAGGCGGAAGTTGTCTTGAACACGTAATTCCCCTCCTGGTGTATCTAGCGGGTGACCTAGACTCCTCGAGTAGCATGAGTCTTGCGTCAACTCCTCGTCCTTGTTGATTTCCAGGTTGTAAAGACATCTAGACAAAAACATTGCCAAAAACCTTTACTAAAATTAAGGTCTTCCTTATAGCAAATTTCACAAGAATACAACACAAATCGTAAGACCTCGAACCAGAGGTAGATTTAGTGGTAGAAAACGTGGAGGGACACCCTCATCTCTTCAGAGATTCAAACCCTTCACCACCCAAAAAGTCACCCGTTCGTAACTAGATTGAAGACAGCTAGTTTCAGCTCAAGTCAGCTCAACTGTTTTAGGAAAAAAGACCAGTTATAAGTTTAAACGTGAGAGAATAATTCAAGCTTTTTAGCGAAAAATTGAATGAACATTTTCTTATGAGAAACGCAGTAGGCTTACGAACCCTAAAAAGCTTGATAATCTGTAGGGGTTAAACATAGAAATATTAGCAATGAAACTGTATTTATTTTTATCAGTCTTCAGCTAACAGAAAATAAACTCTGAAGACGATC